ATTTGACTGTTTGCATTTCTAGTACATCCCTCTTTCCTTAGCTCAAGTATGCAAACCTCTTTGCCACATGCACTGGAATGTGTATTATATTGAAAGTTACATTTTCAAATGAAAATAGCAACATGATCGTTTTATAAAGTATGCGTTCATATGTGCTTCATTTTCACTGGAGGAAACCTGTGGTGTGATGAGGGGTGAACGCAGTGAAAACTTAGGCTACAGTAGATGGGGAACCGATTATTGCTCCCCCATGATATTTTGTAAACTGGATTTATGACAAAGAACTGCACAGATGCAGATATTATAACAATCTATCGATAAACACACACCTTGTCCTCTGTTTCTCGCTCTGCGCCGCTGCGGTCTGCGGATTGAAAAAGAATGCGCTGAAAGACGGGGAGGAGCCGATCGGTGTCTGCCTGTCACGGTGCACACACACGAGGAACACGGGAACGAAGGAGCGAGGAGACACGGAGTAGAATAAATCAAAAGGGTTTTATTAACAAAGGCTGGGGATCACAGGACTCGACACATCAGGATGACGTTCAACGACTGACCAAGGACAAGAACTAGAACACACTTTAAATACACAGGAACTGATGAGGGGAAGACAAGGGACACCTGGAACTAATAAGACAATCAACATAGGAAACACCTGGGAACAAAGAATTCAAAACACGAGACAGAGAAACTGGAAGACGGAGCACATAGGGAGCAAAGACACACACAAAACCTGGCCCAGAGTCTGACACTGCCGCCGTTTTCAGATGAAATTTAAAGGGGACTGAGGCGATCACGGATTTGTGTACAGTTTATGGAGCTAATCGCAAAATTTTAGGGGGGCTGAGTAGTCATTTTAGTATTCATTTTAGCTATAGCCCCCCTAAAAGTGGCCTAGCGATGCCCATGGTTCAAAACATAATTATAAATGATCCCTTCAATCAAAATGCATTTATTTTTTCAAGTGGGTAACAACTAATTAACCTGTTTGAAGTATAAAACTAATGAAATAAAAATAAATTCAATTACTGCAAGTCCAAAGCTATTTTCCTTATAAGACTTCACTCAAAATTACTATGAGATGTAACACATACAGTCAATCAGAAGATATTTCTAGTTTAAAGACCCACTGAGGTGAAAATCAAGTTTTTAATGTTGTTTATATATCTGTCTGGTGTTTTTAATATGCTTAAAGACAATCCTTGTGCAAATTCATCAGACAACACCACTGCTGACCACTGCTTTTCTCCTTAAAATGGTAGTGTGTCAAAGACAGTCTCAAAACTGTGGTGTGAAACAGCCCTTTTCTTACCATAACAAACATGTAACCAATTCCATCAACTTGCGGGTGGGAGCAGATAGTCAAAGGTGGTCTGATTGAGTGGAGGCGGGGACTAATTTGCATATTGATGGTTATGTGTATACTAAATGAGGTAAGGGTGTAGAGTTATATTCAAGCCATTTTAAGACAGAAAGAAATTATTTTAATGGGAGAAAAACGTTTCAATAAGTCATTTTGATTATCAAAGATATGTTTTAAGGGATAAAATTAGTGACTGCAGGGGACTTAAAATTATGAGGAGCAAGATTTTGGAAAAATGAAATGTTATAGTGGGCGGGGCTAACAAGAGTGATGCAGCAGATATAGAATGCAACAGTCAGTTTCCGGAAGTAAAAATGCTATTCATTTTCTACATAGCGAAATTGATTTTTAATGATAACTTATAAACCTTTAAAGACAGACCTATGGTGAGCTCTGAGGTCGTTAATCGATTGTATTTCGATTGTGAAGCCATCAGCTCACATTATTTTAACTTATGTTTTAAATAATCATGTTTAACAGTGGAAGCCCTGGTGAAAAACTACATTACCCATGATGCTGTAAAGAAAATTTCAACAATCAGAGTCACAGCGAGCAAACTGTGACAAATGAGCGCTGAGCTCTTCTCACTCCCATGAAACACCACAAATAACGTAATAAAGTTGGTCTGCTCACGTTCTAAAAAAAAATAATTATTATATTAATATATATATTGATATTATATTAAATATAAAATGTTTATATATTTGACTATATATATATATATATATATATATATGCATATTTTGCAATAAACTTTAAATATATTGTTTCTATATATCCAATCAACAACTTTAAATGAATAATTTTAATATTGTTCCATTGTTTTTAATTTGATTATGTCATTCGCAATGGTTCATAGGATTGTAGTTCTTTAACTTATTTAAGCTGGTTGGTTTGGTTCATGGCTTGTAATGCTTTAATGAAGACTTTTTTTAAAACCCCTATGGGAAAAATGAATAATACTTCTAGAACCAGGGCCATGTTGCACTTTAAAGATGACAAAATGTACTATCGCTCATTGCTTGTCATGGTCAGCTGGGACAAAACATTAAAATGGCAGTGATTTTATCACGTCATGTCTGGTTAGCACTCAGTGTTATGCTGTTTTATTATCAAAGGAATACAACAGAAGACAATCAGGACCTTCCTATGGGACTGTGGCTGCACTTTTAGACATTCAGGCTTAAAAAGATAAAAAATGTACGCAAGATGAAAGCCACAAATTTCCTAGCTTGTCTAAAACATGCAGCTCGAAAATGTGGCTAGCTTTTTGTTGTTATTTAGCTCAATACTAAATTACGCCACTTGCTTGTATGAACAAGAGGAGGTAAAGGACTTCACACTCAGGTCTGAGAGTCTTTCTAGAGGAGACACGGGTGGCAAGGCTTGTGTCTCGCCACTTACAAATGACCCTCTTCAGAAATTCAGCCTTTTGCTCTTTCTCCACCACACTGATCCTTACCTTACACACTTCCTGACCTGCTCACAGCTGGCTATTTTCTTATGGGTGAATAAAAAATAAAGGAAATGCAAAGTGTAGAGGACAAAACAGTGTATCTTTTCACAGTTCTGACAAAAGCCAGTTCAAAACAGCATAAATCATAATTACATGTTGCAATAATGAGCAACATGGGAAGTGCTTTGTGACTGGGAATAGCTGAGAGGCTAACATGATTCACCTCCCAACGTCAGACCCTGAAATTAGCTCCTGTAGACATTCTCCCACCAGGAAAAAAAGGCGGTGCTGCTAATTAAGTGCACAATAATCAAGTCAAGAGTCCAAACAGAAAGGAGAAAAATGAAAAGACATGGGGCAGTCCACTGTTATTTTTCTTTCTTTCTTTTTTTTTTCTTTAAATATTTCCTTTCAAGGACTTCTTAAAACATGTCATGTAGTCATCACTTTTCAACTGGGAAAACATAATGCCTGTCAGGAGTGGAAATCAAGCTTTTCAAAAACAAAGCTTGTTCAGAGGCATTGTTTTGTGGCATAATCAACATTGTGTGCGTAGTTTTGTTTTGTTAAATTGCAAATGAGTTCAGCAGACCTATGCAGAGATCAGAGAGAACTTATAAAAAATGATTATATTATTACAGAAATCATTAAACGCTTGCAGAATAACAATGTATCAGGCAGCATCTTTTGACTGTACCATCACTCCACACTAAAACAATACCAATCAGAGGACACACTGTATATTTGTTTTTTGTTAAACTGCTAGCTAGTTTCCAGAACTTCAAAATGCAGTGATAATGTTTCAGATATTATAAGATTTTGGCGACTGTATTACAGTTTATAACTGTATATGCCATTAAATTATGTTACATTAATATGTCACCTTATCACTAAAATAACCCAATAATCATAAGGAATGCCCTCCCTCACCAAATGAAAAACTTATACAAATGTACTGTCTTCCTCTCAAATATAACATTTTCACAATTAATATAGTTTTAACCTGCAGTCTTTAACTGGAGCATTTTAGCATTCTTAGTACACTGATTAATTTAAAAATTAATGAAAATAAATACAAATAATCTGTTGTATTAAAAATTAAGCTCTACCAGTTCTGACCATGTCATTCCTGTTTATCAAAGTTAAATCTTACATTTATTATCCACGTATGAGCGGCTACTCTTTAAAAGCGGTTCAGCACCTGGACCTGTCCAGTGCATCCTTACAAATCACCGTCTGCTAAACCACATTACACACGACCTACACAAAACTACAAAACTAAAAAAAAAATTAAAAAAAAATTCAGACCATATTTCATCACTTTAACAACAGTCGTTTAAGAATTAAAGGCTGTCAGTCTTGAACAAATCAGTGCTTTGAAACAACTACATTGTAGCTCACTATAATGCGGTCGTGCAGGGACTGTTGTCTCATTACACAACAAAGCGAACCTGCTGATGATTCTGATGATATATGCCTTCATGGCTAAAGTTTTCTATTTTCCCACCATTTCCGATTTATATATTAATTGTAATGTATTCTAAGCTTGACCCTTCCTTCGATTAATGACAAAACTGAGTGTTGGAATGCCATTGAACAGCATCCTCCATGCATGGGTGCTCTACAGTAAGGAAAAAGTTATTTATAGTGTTGTACGGGACAAACCACATCATCCACTGGTATTTCTCCCTATAGACTGGTTATTTCTTCTATTCTATAATTGAATCAGGTAATAAATCTCGTTGACCGTATGAAACAAGTCATTAAATATAATTTCCATGGTCGTTTAATCTTAATCAGCTGTGGTTTCGTAAAGATCATATCCCTTCCAGCGCAGTGTCTTCATTTGATGATCTACTTGCAGCGGCTGAGCAATGCTGATGTCAAACCGCAAGCGTCTTCTTTTGTTTCAAAAACTGCCTGTATCTATTGCATTTACACAAACGAAGAGAGGCTAAAGACAGCTATGTGAAAATATGTAAATACATATTGAACATGCAACGCTTCCCGTGTCGCCCTGCGTTGTATTTACATGGACATTTATAGCATTCTGTAAAACATGGCTGTGCGCTGTTTGCCACTGTAGAGCCCGTAATGATGTAACCCTCACTGCAATACTCCGACCATACACACCAAATCACATAGTCTATTCCACCAAAAAATAAAGGAAAGAGCACTCACGGTGTATCATAGATCCGTCCTTTGCTGACATGTCTTCAGTGTAGGGCCAGGCACCCCAGAAGTGCTGGTTAATTGTATGAAGCTGGTGCGCGCTGCTGTTGTTGGTTCAGATGCTCTCAGTGAGGGACCAGAGAGAGTTTGAGCGCCACTGCTGAAGATTCAATATAAAACATCACCGACACAGCACTACATAACACTCATGTCCGGTTCAGATGGGCTTTATTTCCTGGTTGTTTCGGTCCTCTGTGGGTACCCTTATGCACAGAAAGTGTATTTATATATATATTAACGATCAATATATTAAACTATTTAATAGTTTAAAAAATGCAGAATAATATATTGTGTTAATATATTGTATAATACATAAGAAATAGCCGTTTTTCATATTGAAAAATATTTTACAATATATTTACTTATCGTAATATGATTTTATATTCAGTAATAAACTACAGTGTATGTATATAAACATGTAATGCAATATATACATAATTATAAGCACACACACACACACACACACATTTATTTTTCTTATATAGCACACATATTTTCATATATGAAATGCATATACAATAAAGTGAGATCAAATTTATGAATACGTGTTCAGCTTTATATAAACATGCATTAACTCATGAAAAAGAAATAAATTAATAGACTATTTCAATACAGCTATTACATATAAAAAAAATAGTTTTTATTTTCATTGCAATTTTTTAATACAGCCAATATAGCCATACATGGACCATGCATATATTGCAGAATATTTAAATATATAAGCATTATATAACTGAATTATTTAATATATTGCATTATATTTTTCAGTATGCTATATGTTTTTTTGTTTCGTAAGGGTAAAACTAATAATAATCATTATAATAGAATATAATCCTGTTATTTTCCCTTTTAAAATATTATCATTATCTAATTAAACCTCACTAGTTATATTCATAAAGCTGTAACCTTTTTACACAAAGAAAAGCATTATTATAGAAATTGTTTAGTTTGGGATCAGCTTGGCCCCTACAAGAAAACTTGAAAATGCAGTAAAAAAAAAGAAGGAAAAAAAAGTAATATCACACATGCATGAGCTCTGCATAATTATGATTGATTGTGCCACATATTCAGTATAACAGCATGCATATATGTGATGTTGCTTCTCTGCTGGTAAGTGATATAAAGACATTTTCATCTTTTAAAATCTGACATCTCTCCAGCAAAGTATCTACTGCATTCTCAGGTAAAGGGTACAAAAGGTACAAAGCTGGGGTGGTAGTGGTACCATAAGGTACAAAAACTAAAAGGTACATCTTTGTACCTTATTTACCCCCAAATGGAACACATATTAGTATTTTAATAGTACATATATTAGTACCTAAAGTGTACATAATACTTTTGAAAGGTAATCACCCCAGTGGCAGCTTCGTATTCTGAGGTTCGTAATTCGTATTGTTTGCCTTCATGAATACTCTGTGTATTCTCACATTCTACTTATTTGACACACTTCTTTTTGCTTTGTGTGGGAATTATTCATATTTGGACTCAGGGCCCAAAAAACCTGTTCCTCTCTTTGCTTTTATTCTGTTTCACTCACATAACTCTGGTGTGAGTGAATCCAAAACCAGAACTGGTCGCAAGGTGCAGAGAACAAATCAGAGAATTTGTTGCATTTATTCATAGTTCATGGCAGGGGTCAGTGAGAGTACATACCAAAGTACTGTAACTTTTTTAATGGAAAACTTTTGCAATGTTAGAAAGTAAAAATGTTTAGAATTACAGCAGTTATCATATAACTCTCTAGAATAGATATTAAAATATAGATGATTTGGGATATAAAATCTGTATTTATTAGTAATTTGAATGGATTTATTGTGGATTCCGTTGTCAAATTTGAGCCTACTAAAGGAATGGCCTGAGAGCAACCATGACATTTGGCTCCAAGCTGTTCCATTCAATGAAGGTACAAGACAGCACATCAATGGCCTGGCCTTGTCTGACCAAAGGGAATTTCCACTGGGCATGTTTTCTTCTCCCCAGGTCCTCAGATCTTAATGGCTCTACAATCACTACTGCACAGACAGAATACTTTGGAGTTTAGATAAAGTTTACGGCAAGGAAATTTACTACAACTTATCTGATTCTTTAATTTAACACAGTGCAGAATAACCATGCGTTTCAGAACTATAGGGCCAAATATTTATGGCCACATAAAGTGTTTTAACAGTCATTGTTTTAACATTAAAAAGATTTTTTTTTTTTTTTTGTGAGTGTCCCCAAACAGAAACACCACAAATTTAATGCTCTCAAATAACAGATTTAGTCCGTTTTTTAACGGTGGTGAAAGGTTGAAAAAATTACAACGCTGACCACAAGGTGGCGCAGTTGTTCACTAGCGTGGAGCTGTATATTTGAACATATGGGAATCGTTATTCGTAATGATTTAATCATGGAAAGAGCCACTACATATTGATTTATCTAGGTCTCCATTGTGAGAAATAAACTGATGAGAGTCACTGCACAACCCATAATTATACTGAATGCATATGGAAATATGCTGTCTAATCTCAGTTTATTCATTTTTAAAGATGCACATGAAAAAATAGACATACATCTAAGAACACAACCCATAAAAATAAGCACATCTCTGATTTACTCAACTGACTGTTGGCTGGCAGGAGAGACTGAAATATGAATGACTGAATTGTCTCTTATCGAGACTCTCCTTGTTATGCAAGAATGGATTTGGCATGTTAGTCTTACATTGAACATAATGTCCTCAACCACAAATTGACCATTAAAAAACAGGGAGATAATGCACATCATGGATTTGTCCCCATGTCCCGAAAAAGATCAGTGGGGAAAAATAAAGTTCAAAAGCAGTTATACTGAATTTCTAAAGTCACATTGTAAAAATATTTTCATCACATGATATAGGCTGATAACGTTTTTTTTCCATAGATTTATCTTAAGTTTAACTTCATTTTAACTTCATTTAATGTGATTCAAGTTCATTTAATCAAATTCAAATGACTTGGCAAAAGTGTTTGCACACTTTTGTTGTACACAACAGCAGGTTGTATCTTTTGCACTTGTTTACCCTAAAGATGAAGGCAGTAATTAAACTCAATTTTTCATTTTTACTAGAGATTTTGTATAATGAGTTAAAATTAATAGGTAGCCTACATTATTATGAATGCAATACTTGACATTCTGATATTAATTTAGCTTTAATGATTTTTATAATGATCATCACAGTTTTGGATGGAACAGGCCTACTCTATCAGGAACACAGTGATCATGGTCAATACACACTTGTTTATAACCCTTACGGAATCCTTATATTTATAGGGCCATAAGCAGCACGTGGCCCCGCCTCCACATGCTATTGGACAGATCTGTATTAGTAATAGGATCCTCGTGCTATGATTGGCTGTTGAGTGTTCTTGGAAGAACAGCTGCATCATATAGCCTACATAGCAGTACATGTATTATAAACACTGTGGCTGTTGAAAAAAACTGGATCTCTGTACCTGATATATCTGGTATATCTCGGTTTCGACCCAGTCATCGAAATGAAGTTCGTCAGGTTTATAATGAAGAATGCTGCATTAGCCAGTGCGCCTCAACACATCGAACACTTCTCAAAATTTTCACCTTCTCCACTTTCTATTAAACAGTTTTTGGATTTTGGTGAGTGCTCTTTCTACTGTTATTTGTTAATTTATAAAATCGTATGCATTCCTAGACAAGGAATAGCTTCATATAAACGCTGTTTATTGCCCATGAAAGTGGTCGTGTGTGGAACAGAATGTTATTTTGGACTATAACGTTAGTACGTTTATGATTACGTGCATGACTATATAACCGCATTGCATGTGTTATTTAAATCTGCTTGATGCAGAAATTATTTGGTACTGCTCTACCAGCTGTGTAGCTATGTCCGATTCGGGAACAAATTGTTCTTTGATTCGGATCTTTTCAGTGACTTTCTTTATGACTCTGACTGAACTATAAATTTGAACTGTAATTTGAACCTGAACTGAGCGGATAGTAAGAGAATTTGGAGTAAACCAAGGACTACCAAATTACTTAAAAAGGTTAACAGCAGAAAGGCTAAACATAAAACGTACTAGTTTTTTATTTGAACTTTTTACAGCACGTCAGAAACGAATGACGTTATGGCTCAATCGGTTTTCTGAACCGGTTCTTTAAAATGAACTGTTCGAAAGAACCGACTCTGAATTCCCATCATATTGTTCATAGGTGCAGAGTGTTGCGTCGTTTAACAGCTGTTGGCATGTTTGCAATCACTGCGATGTTTATGCACCTGTATTCGACTGTGTTTAGTTGCATTATTTATTAGCAATGTGCATACATCTTAGTCCCAAGCCCATACCATTATACTAATTAATATTTATAACACTTATGCGACTTAAGTCCGTTTACCAAGGTGCCATATTTATTTCTTACATACTGCCTTCGTTCAGGTTCTACCAACGCATGTGAGAAAACCTCTTTTGTTTTCCTGAGACAAGAGCTGCCCGTGCGTCTGTCAAACATCATGAAAGAGATCAACTTGCTCCCTAAAATATTACTTACCACGCCTTCTGTACAAATGGTTCAAAGCTGGTGAGTTATACAACATTTTACTACATTTATAATCTGATCTACTTTGACCAGATTTGTTGTAGCGACGACGTATTGTTTATAAGGCGATTAGATGGCCAGAGACGTGGTGTTTATGTTTAGTATGACAAGTAAACCCCGCGGTCTGCTTGAGACTTGGCCAAACTCTGAACTTGGTGAGCCTGTGAACTTTTGCTCCAGGAGCTACACTTCTTCTTCAAGGAGGGATTCTGCTGTGAACTTTGTCCTACTTTCACTACCTCGTGCTTGTTGTTGTTTTTTAGGAAGAGTGGAAACTTGGAAACTCAGGCATAGCCAAAACAAAACAGTCTTTCATTAATATGCGTGGTATGCAACTTTTTAACGGTTGATTTTCCACAGATATTAGGTCAATGTTCTTCTAAATGCTTCTGTTTACTGTTGCAATACGTTTACCATCCATCTTTTCCAAAATATCAGCAATTTATATATATTTATATATTTAGTTCACATCAGAACATGTTTAAAGTGTGAGGGACATTTGCAGGAAATTATATGACGTTGCTGTGTTTAGAAGAGTCAATGTTCTGAAAACACTGGATAAACATATTTCCCCCGAATACAGTGCTCACATAGAGTTTAATTTGTTTTAATATTAAATTTCTTCACATAAATTCATTCCCACTTCTTTTGTTTGTCTGCTAAGGTATGTACAGAGTTTGATGGAGATCTTGGATTTCTTGGAGAAAAGTCCAGATGACCAAAGTGTATTAGAAGAGTAAGTAGAAATTAAATGGGTACATTTCATGAAAAAAAAGCACATGCACATTTTACATTTGACCTCAACATCAAAAGAAAAACAAGAAATTATATTTATATTTTTTTCTTTGTGTGCCATTATTTAATGGCAATTAAGCACATTTTCCTACAAAAATTCCCATTAGTATAATGCATCATGACGTCTTTCTTTTAGGTTATTTTATTATTAAAGGGGTCATGAACTGCCTTTGTTTTTTTTTTACTGTTCTCTGAGGTCCACTTATAATGTTATCAATGTTTTTACATCAAAAAACATCATAATTTAGAAGTAATAGGCTATTTTCTGTCCTGTTTTAACCCCTTCTCATCGGAACGATCTGTTTAAATAGGCGTGACAGATTGTAGACTCTGAAGTACATAGGACCGAGTTCTCACTGCACCACGTCTTGTTGTCTTCAGAGCCATGTTTATCGTGTGGTTTCTGCGTAGACCTGCGTTTGCCTCTCTCGTTATTTACCCACTACATGCACAAATAGGTGGGTGGGGCTAAACAGGCAGTGACGTAGAAGCAGGCGTTGATCATCTTCTGCGGAGGCGGGGTTTAGCCACACTATTACGTCATAAAGTTGCACGTTCCACAACCTGTCGTTTTGGCAGATTGGCGTCAATATAAGCTGTTTTTAGACTAACGAGAAAGTTTTGAGTTCTGAAACTTACAGGATGTTTTTAAAGTACAATGATCAAAAGATCAAGGGAATTTTGATTTCTCAGTTCATGACCCCTTTAAATTGAGAATTGAAAGGGTTGTCATACATTGTTACATATAAAAATAGGCTTTGTTGTCAAACTTCTTAAGTTGTTTCTTACTTAAAAATACTTTTTATTTATTTCCTTTTGATTTTGGGGTCAAATATGACCCAGATATGTTCTTCATTGTTCATTGCACATTTTAACACTCTTGAATATGCACACAGGTTTGTGAATGCTCTAGTCAACATCCGAAACCGGCACAATGATGTTGTACCCACTATGGCCCAGGGTGTGATTGAATATAAAGAAGTATTTGGTCAAGATCCAGTCACTAATCAGAATATTCAGTATTTCCTGGACCGTTTCTATTTGAGTCGGATATCAATCAGAATGCTCATCAACCAGCACAGTAAGCATCATTGTCAGACCAAATAAGAATTCCTGTTTCTTAAGTTGCTTGTATTTATGTTGTTTTATTGGATTTTTCAGCTCTTGTATTTGATGGTGCCACAAATCCAGTTCACCCTAATACCATTGGCAGTATAGACCCTTATTGTCAGGTGGCAGAAGTTGTTAAAGGTATAGTATGCAAAATCTATCTACTTTCAATCCGATGAAACCACAAACATGTAGAGTGGGAGTTTGTTGCAAATGTGCTTCTCAAAATCAGTGACCCATTTGTTTAGTCAATGCACATACACTCTTTTATGTTTCTAAAAATATTGTCATCACATTGTTTTTTGTCATGTAGACGCATATGAAAGTGCCAAGATGCTGTGTGATCAGTACTACCTCAGCTCACCTGACCTGGTGCTTCAAGAACTTAACAGTAAGAACGGGAATATCTAGCGTAGATAGTCAGGAAATACAGGCTGAGTAAGATACCTGATACTAAATTTATTCCATCTGTTGGTTCTCTTTGAGATTAGCAGTGATAATATGTTTTAGCAGCTATGGATAATATTGACACTGTGACTGTGTTCTTCTATTTGCAGCTAATAACAGGAACCAGCCTATTAACATAGTGTATGTGCCTTCCCATCTGTACCATATGCTATTTGAACTGTTCAAGGTGAGCTGTAGCCCATCTCATAATTCTGTCCTGAAACAATGCTGTTTATTTAAGGCAAGTTGGATGTTGTCATGACGATATGCTTCTTTCCCCAGAATGCAATGAGGGCAACCATTGAGAACCATAAAGAAGGCTGTAATCTTCCACCCATTCAAGTTATGGTGGCCATAGGAGGAGAGGACCTCACTATCAAGGTGATTTTAATTTGAAAGACTGGAATGATTTGTTCACAGAAGCATTTTTGCAGTATGTGGTGCTAAAACAAAATTGTAGACATTTTCATGGCAATTATGCACATTTTCCAGTGAATTTTCATTCTTGCGTTTTTAATTTTGAGTTTCTTGGTTTAATTTTAAATTGTTTTAAATGATTGATTATTATTCTTGTTAGATTCAAAGTACTATAAAATTGCAAACATAATTTAACAATTTTTAAAATTAAATTAGCATAAATGAATGTATGCTTGCATACTAATGATGTATAAGAAAAAAAAAGTTTTAAATATATTTTAGATTACAATAATGAGATTTTAATTTTGTTGCAGTGATGGATTGAGTGTATGTATTTAATTGTAATAAAAGATCCTTAAAATAAGCTTAATTTGTATTAAATGATGAAATTATAATAAAATATTCATTTTAAAAATTTTGTGGTGAGATATATCCCTGAATATTTATTGCTCTTAAATTATTTAATTCAAAAAAAAAAGTATTGTAATTATGTAATTGTCTTTTTTTTACCTTATGGTTGTTAAACTCATTAAAAAGTTGATGTGATTCTAGTCTGATGTAACTAGAGCCATCAGTCATTTTCCCATCAGTGAAACACCTGCTGTTGCATAACATAGTACATGAGAGCAGACTGGCCTTGTTGTTTGGTTACCTTGACTATGCTGATTTGAGTCCTTCACATGCTAATCAGTCATGATCGGGTCAGAGTCACGGCTAGTGCCTGTCTGTCTGGCATCTCGCCCCCTCACCGTTAACCCTTTTTTTTCTGTTTGTGCCCTAATTAACTCTTTCTAATTTTTTTTTCTCTTTTTTTCCTCTTTTTTTTATTCTAACAATGCCATCTATGTCTTTGTAGATGAGTGACCGAGGTGGTGGAGTTCCTTTCAGGAAGATGGAGAATCTCTTCAGTTACATGTACTCTACGGCACCAAAACCCCAGATGGATGATAAGCAAAGGGCTCCCCTGGTGAGACTTCACTGCATTACACATTAAATACAAATAGGATTGCAAGGTACATCATTTTAAAGTGTCCACTTTACAGGGTTATTATATTTAACTAAAACTAAAATCATAAAAACCTTTTTGTTACTTTAAATAAAATAAGTATTAACTGAAATAATTATAAAAAAATTTTTTTTTTTTTAATTTCAGCTAGTTTACAAAAAAGACTTACTTTTTTTTCAGAAAATTTCTAATTTTCATTTTGTTTATCTTGATGTACTAAAATAACTCAAACTAAAACTGAAATAATAAATGCAAACTATATAGACATATTTATATAAAAAAACTAAACTAATAAAAATGACAAAAACAACAAAATTACTAAAACTTTAAAAGTAAAATAATAACTGAAAATAGAAAAATAAAAACAAAATAGAAAATATTAATAATAGTAATATCTCAATGATACTTGTAACAGTGCCTCTTTATAAAAGTGGACACCTTTTGTCTACAGGCTGGGTTTGGTTATGGTTTGCCCATTTCTCGACTCTATGCCAAGTACTTCCAGGGTGATCTTCAGCTGTACTCTATGGAGGGCCATGGCACTGATGCAGTCATTCACCTGAAGGTACATTTAAACCCTACTTAAAAAGGGATAGTTCACCCAAAAATGAAAATAGAAATTTCTGTAAATTATTATTATTTTTTTTTCTTTCAGAAAATGTAAATTCTGTCATTTACATCATTCTATTATTTATGTTGTTCCAAACCTGCATGCCTTTCTTTCTTTTGTGGTACGTAAAAGAAAATATTTTGAAGAATGTTTCAAATCATTTTGTCCATGCAGTGGAAATCAGTGGGGTCTAGTGTTGTTTTATCCCATTGGCAGATTTGGAACTATAGACCTTAGTCAGGTTGTGTGCCATATTGAATTTTACAAAGATGAAAACAAGACCGAGAGGGATAAACGTGCAATCTTTACAATGGCATGCGCTGTATAAAGGTCCACAATTATGTAATTTTCACAACTCACAACTTTCAAAAGTGATTTGTGGGGTTCTTGTCTATTGAAAGTTATTTTCAGAAATATGATTCATCAGCTGAACAATTGGATGTTGTTAAACAACAGTACAATCCACTTAATTCTGCCCACTACAGCCTTGTTTCCATTCTTGTCAGAAATTAAACATGGCACCACCCTAAGGTTTATTCCTTGAAAATCTTCGCTACACATTTTTTTTTTTTTATGTTTTAAAAACGCTGGAAACTTGTTGTAAATGAAAGAATACTTTGCGTTGTGTTCTAACAGATGACATCATGTGTTTTTCCCCTCAGGCTTTATCCACGGACTCAGTCGAGAGACTCCCAGTGTTTAATAAGACAGCTCGACGGAACTATGAAGTCACGCAGGGGGCAGATGACTGGTGTGTCCCCAGTCGAGAACCTCTGGATCTGGCCGTGTTCAGACTGGCCAAGTGAAAAGGAGCAGCCTCCAGGAAGGATATAGGACAGTTCTATGACATAGTGAACGGGGTTGGCCATAGTGTCTACATGGCTGAGTCCCAGCTCACCACTCACTGTGATGCCTCAGCAATACCTTAGGTATCGCATGTGGTTGGTTTTCCTCTGAACCATGACTGTTTCATTCGCCTTTTTTTCGGTTTGAGAAACTAGGCTCTGTCACAGTGTTACCTGCAAACCTTACTGACTCATATGAAGTGGTACAAAGTGCCAAGTTAATCTGCACTGAATTGCTCTTCCTTTATTGGAAGACTGTTAAGTGGAAGTTCCAGTGTGGCGAAGTGAGCCATACGGACAATTTACAGAGGTCCTGCTCACTGCATTAGAGGAAAGGGCCATTTAGACTAGTGGAACCAGCACAGAACAACAGGCTTGTGCCAAGACATTTAAGAACACATGAATTCAGAGATCAAGGGCCAGGATCGAGTGATAAAACCAATATGCATCCCATGATGGACTATTTATGTTAAAGTCTACTAGAAGAGCACGTTGCACTGCATTAGTAATGCTGAAATCAAGGAACACAACATAACTTTGATTGCTGCTGTAGGAGTATTCCTATTCAGAATGGCCAGAAGAGAAAGAGATCATTGGAGGCCATAATTGTGACTGTATGAGTGTGTGGCCAAATATGTCAATTTGATCTCTGGCCTTTTCCTTATACTACAGTTTAAGGCACTAGAAGGGGATCATAGATGTAAATGTGTTCAGAAGCAGTTAGAATGTACCAGTCATCTCATTGATTTAAACTTGAAATACTTACAATTTATATGCACCTAGCATTTCAAACACAGTGTTTTGTGCATGTTTATTCTTAAACATGCGGAAGCATTTTGGATACCTCATTGACTGACGTTAGTTTGCGAACTCAACAACCTTTGCTCAGCTGTTGGCTTTTTCAGTTTTGTGGGCCTGTGGCCACTAGTTCTCTGCGAATATTATACAGCATGAAATCAGAGCTTCTAATTTTAAGCCATCTCCTTTGAGAGCATGCCTATACTGTATTAAACCAACCATCTGCTTTGAACTTGAACTGTACAACCTTACATGTAAGGACCATATTTTGTGTATTTATATTTTTGTTTTTGTCGTGTTATGCTTGAAAATCCAAACTTTATTTTTGTAAGTTTTTCATGTTAAGCAAATTGGTATAGAATGGAAATAAACAAAATTTTTGGGAAATTTTACACTGCAGTGTAGTCATTTATGAGTTAAAGGAACAGTTGAGTGAGTGAGTGAAGTGTGGCCAAGTATGGTGACACATACTCGGAATTTGTGCTCTGCATTTAACCAATCCAAGTGCACACAAAGTAAGTACATTTTATTTATATAGCACATTTCAACATAGCAAAGCTATCCAAAGTGCTTAACAATGTAAAATTAAGTTAAAAGAGAAAAGGAAACAGAAAAGAAGCAAAAAAGACAGACAATAACACAACAATGAAAAGGCTGACTGAAAAGGCTCTGTCACCCTTAGTTTTCAAACGGGAACGAAGGACAGATAAAAGAGCCCTGTCAGTAGATCTTAAAAGTCTGGTAGATGACAAAGGGATAATAAGATCTTTAAGATAAGATGGAGCTTGATTGCTAAGAGCTTTAAAAACAAACAACAGAATCTTAAACTGAACTCTAAAATGGACCGGAAGCCAGTGAAGCGAAGCTAAAATTGGAGTGACATGGTCATATTTCTTTGCCCCAGTCAGCAGCCTTGCAGCTGCATTTTGTACCAACTGGAGGCGTGAAAGCGATGACTGAGGAAGACCTGAGTACAGTGAATTACAGTAATCTAAACTTGAGGTAAAAAAAAA